TGTGGGTTCTATAATCTAGGCAGGATGTGGGTTTTATAATCTAGGCAGGATGCGGGTTTTATAATCTAGGCAGGATGTGGGTTCTATAATCTAGGCAGGATGTGGGTTTCATAATCTAGGCAGGATGTGGGTTTTATAATCTAAGCAGGATGTGGGTTTTATAATCTAGGCAGGATGCGGGTTCTATAATCTAGGCAGGATGTGGGTTTTATAATCTAGGCAGGATGTGGGTTTTATAATCTAGGCAGGATGCGGGTTCTATAATCTAGGCAGGATGTGGGTTTTATAATCTAGGCAGGATGCGGGTTTTATAATCTAGGCAGGATGTGGGTTTTATAATCTAGGCAGGATGTGGGTTTTATAATCTAGGCAGGATGTGGGTTTTATAATCTAGGCAGGATGCGGGTTTTATAATCTAAGCGGCTATGTGTCCACAAAAGGTATCCCGCCCGTTAAAAGATAAAGTTTATAGAGCTCATCTCAAGTTTCGTTTCAAGGGTGTACCCATGCCTCTTTATCTACTTGCTTGATATGACCTGAATATTTTGTTTCACGTTACCGTATCTTCATGTCCGAAATGTAACCGATAATTAACTTCCTGCAGCCTTGATCCGATAATATATTCCGGTCTCAGTCCATTGGAGTTAATTTGATTTGGTTAGATGTCCCTGAAGGGGTTCACTTTGCCAATCATGGCTCCTTTCTGGCTGCCGTTGGTCTGTTTCAAATTGCACTAATTTCTTCCTTTTAATTTTTTAAACAAATTAAATGTTTTTACACGTATATGCTGTGCACACACGTTGCCGGTATACTGCCCGCCTTGCAAGTTTGGTGAGTGAGTCGTACTGTTTCCGTATTGTGTCATTCGTTGAGAGAGAAAGAGAGTTGAACTGGTGTAATACTTGCGTCACTCGCTGCTTCTTTGTTTACCTCGACTTTTTATTACTTTAGATAAAATATTTGCTTAATTTTACAGTGGGTTGAAATAACAATCCCCCTTCCATCCCCCTATTTAGATCATCCTTTCGGCCAGGTTTATTGTCTTAAGTTCCCGGGTTGTGAGCCTAATGGCTCATATTGGGATATATTACAGTTGCAGCTGAACTGAGGTGGCAGCGGCGGTTGCCACGGCGGCGGTTGCAGCGGCGGTTGCATGTTTGTTTATATAAATCATCTTCCGTGCACACTGCTGGATGTTGATTGCTCTAAATTGTCGGTGTTTGCTTGTTTTGAGACGACTGTCTGCTTCTCTGCTAAAATGGGGGTGTTTATTCGTTCAGTTTGGCCTTCTTATTAAATGTTGAGGCTTTAAATAAACCGTCTACACAGAAGCTGATCTTAATGTACCGATCATGATTTTATTAATAATTATACCATAATCCCTTTACAGAACGAAACAAACTCCTTCATTATTCGGCCCCCAATACCCTAATTCCGGTGTACACACTTCACTGTCACATTTACTTCCTCTTTCCCTGCTCCTTGTTCTCTTGTCCCGTAACTTTATACGTTTAGTTGGTGCTCGGATCATGAGTTGTGTGTTCGTGACCGGATAGACGACATCTTTTACTCAGATTCTGCTTTTTTGTTGTATGTTTGCTGTTATTTCTATTCGATTTTTAATATTTGCTGCTTATTCTAGCCCAGTCTACCAAAAGGGTAAAATTGTACCCTGACGACTAAAACTAGCCGTTAAAGTAGATTTACCATCGTCCTAATTCAAACATAATATGACCAAATACTAAACTATACCCTCTAATCGAAACTGTGATAAAATATTTAAAACTATGGGGCTTAGAATAAAATGTTGTGGAGTTATTTTTTGGGAGATTTCTGGAGCCTTTATAGAGAGATTTCCTGAAAGACTTCTGGAACAGTCTTCTTGAGCCTTTCATAAACTGTAATCAACTTATCCCGCGAATAAACCCCTCCTCAGGCTTAAGTTGAAAGTTTAGTGTTCTGTTATTACCGCGTAACTTAGCCTTCTAGCTCGAGGTGAATTTAGGATTGTTTCTTAACGAGGGCTAGGTAAATTTAGGATTGTTTCATAATAAGGGCGACATTGTAATCAATTGAACATGTTGCGTTAAGTCGATCAGCCTAATATTCACACTTTCAAGTCTGATGCTGTACAGATTTGATAAAATATTCGAGGACTGAATTATATTAAAAATCCCGATTAGTTTAGATTGAATAACGATAAAATTAACTACAAAATGACAGTTTACACTCTCCGTACTGCAATCCAGCCTTTAATCTACACAGCATTGGCTACCGATTCCTCATTCCAATTTGTTATTTAGTTCTAGATTCTTTTGAAATCAGCCAATAATAGTTGGGTCATGGACATTGGACTTGTTAGCCAATAATACAGCCATAATTCGACAGTGGCGTCCAAAATGTCCCCAAGAATATGTTTTCAGGACGCTTTCACAATTTTTTCCGTTCACACTCTTTTGTAAAAAGACAATAGTGAAAGGTTACGAATGGACGTTTTTGCAGAAAAACGTGGATTTTGGAGAACGAGATAGGTGGGTTTAAATATGTCGTCCGTCCTTTCGTTAGTTACCATGACAACTAGCGCGCAGTGCAGCGCGCGAGTATTGCTTGCGGAGATATGATGTATATAGCTAGCATGTCAATAAATGCGCGGCGTGAGTGTATTAATTAATGTATAGTATTAGGTAATGAGCCCAATTTGTACGTGGCATGCGTACTCGTAGTATAGTGTACTATGTGTATATTATTATTATGCAGTGAGCTGATTAGAGCTTATATTTATAAATATAGTGAACGGAAATCTAGCGTCCGCCAAAACGAAACAACGGGCGCAATTCTTGTTGAAAAGGCATCCGACACAACAAGGTTTTGAATAACACCTGAGTAACTAAGAGGACTATAGGAACTAAGTAAACTACCTCTGCAAAGGTAGTGGAACGTGTCTTTACGAAAGTAGGAGCTTTTGGATGACCGGAAAATCAATCAATGGTGACATGTTGATTTGAAGTTTGAACTAGATGCCGTGTCAGAGGTAAAAGTATGGGTTAAAGATAAGATTTGTATAGACTGTGGTCATTCCTCAGCTCTTTTGATCGGGTATCAACCTTTTCTATGGAAGTAATCGTCTAAAATAGGGTTAAGTTATATTAGGAAGCCAACATAGTGACCAGATATGGGTATTGATGTCATTGCTTTAATTCATCGATTCAAATTCGTTTCACTGCATATGCTGTAGGATACGTAGCGTTTCTTGAAAACGTACCTTTCAAGAAAATTTCTGATTTTTTCTGATTAGCTTTCGTGATGTCAGTTTCTGACGAAATTAAATAGTTAAATCGACTTTTCTACGTCATACTCATATTCTGAAATTGTGTTGATTAATTTACAACTATCAAGATTCACATCTGGTCAGACATTACCATTGTAATTTGACTTTTGAATCGTTTAATCCGTTTAATCATTAAAAATTTGACGCCGAATTTTATTTCAAACAAAATATATAACCGTAAAATAGGTTTTAACGAAATTGGAGAAAATATGAATATAAAACTGATTCAATGTGTCGAATATGAAAACTTAATCGCAGTTCTATTTAATCTAAACTTCAGATCTATTTCTAATTTTGTTGCGTTAGTTTTTGATGGAATATGTCTGCGGGAATACACTTTAAGCGTATTACAAAATTTAATTTAGAAAAATTATTTCGCGTATTTCCTTAAAAAAAGTTGTACGAGGTTTCGAGAGAAGATGATCTAACCCTTCGAATGTTTCTATTTACAGTCTTGATCACAATCGTATCTTCTACAATCTTTATCATCCGTATTTACGTTATCGCGGACTTCAAGTTTCAATCCGCACATCATGATCAAATTAAATCCTCCCTTGCATAAATTTTGCAATTGCATAAAATCATACCTGCAGGATTCTTATTTTACACATCAGGCCAGGATCAGGGCGTTATTGCATTACAAATATTATGGGAGTTAGGGAAGCTTAAATGAAGCTTGTGGATGTAATGATTTAATCACGATATATTTTTGGAGTTAACTGAATTATGTACAGTTCGATTCTACTCAAGACAGCGAGACTATGCCCGCTTGTACATTTGCGGATACATTTTTGTTGTGGTGTGGGTAAAATAATTTTGAGAAACGTACCATTTCAGGCGAATAATTTAATTTGAATTTATCAAAATACTTCAGTCGGGGTCTTATTAAGATTGAAACTTGATTCTCACAGACCCGTAACTTCGTTCAAGATTTAGCAGAGTAATTCGATAATAAAGTCCAATAATTAAATTAACACAGCAGAATTTCTATACCCTGCAATGACACGAACTGAACTGTTTTTTAGTGTTAGTTACCCAAACACTTAAACTTGCGCAAATGAGGCTTAGCGCCTAGGTCTAGATTAAATCCGTCATTTTATTTCTTTATCAAGCCCTGCGATGGAATATTAACGTGTCCCCCCCCTCAAACAAGTCCTGTTTGATCTCGCATATTCTTCGTGTATTTCTGTAGGACATAGAGATGTAGCTAAATTACTTTCCATCGTTGCCTGCGAGTCGCGACATGATTTCTCCTATCAACTTTACGTTATGACATTCCTAAAGTTGGTCCAAAAAGTATTACATGTCCTTATCCGATGCTGTAATCGCTAAATTGGTATTCCTTCGGATCCAGTAAGCCTGATTAGAATTCAGTGACATCAAAACGTTTCGAACTTTATGGTGTGATGTATTGACTGACTCTATTCGTAGCTGTCCACATCATCATTCAACATTCATAATTTGTTCTTTGATTTTCAAATAACTTAAGGCGGTAAATTTCTTCGAAACTTACTGTTTCAGTCGCAGCTGTAGAGACATGCTTTTTTGTAGCTTGTTGAACTTTTTTTGTTGTTGGTCGGAATACTACAATTAGCCGATATTGATCTTTAATCTTCTTCACTCTTCTTCACTCTGCAGTTGTTCAACCACTAAAACCTTGATTTGTTTCAGCGATGCCAATATGCTTTCGGTAGTTTTATTGACGCTCTTCCTCGCTCAGTCTGCTGCCCAGCAGCAGGTCAGCAGAGATACCGAATTTAAAGGTTTGTTTTTCCGAATATTAGTACTCCTAATACATATATATAACTATATATACTGATATATAACTATACATTAGTATATATATAACTATATGTATAACTATATATTAGTATATATATATAACTATATATTAGTTACTCTTTTCTTAATTTATTATTCATTGTTAAACCACAAATGAACTCAATCACTCAGATGAACCTTACCTAAAACATTTTAAATTTTGCCTTAATTTTATCAGCTGAACTTTAATTATGATTTACTGTTGTACTTGTACAACGTTTCAGATGATTAATATTGTGTTTTTTTCTAGAAATAATTGGTGTTGATAAGAATGGAGAAACGCACACGTACAATGGTCTGATAACCAAACATTGGGTCAGAACCCAACGGGATGAAATAAAGATTAGCAAGGTTTGTCCTCTACTGATCAATGTGCAGCCACTAACCTGGTTAATGAGTCACCATTTTATGAGAAAATCGACGTTTTATGCTTTTATTTGCCTTAAATGTTATGAATAACTTAAAAATAATATCATTTAGTTTTAAACTAATTACAACACTACAAATCTATTACATTTATTGAGAAAATTATGTAATGTAACGTGATGGAGGTTCTTTAAGCGGGAAATTCCAGTCCAAACCCTGGAAACATGACATAAAGGATTTGTTTTACTTGTTGCATGAAAAGCACTAATACATTGTTTCCAAACGTTATGTTGGCCGTACTTCAGGCAGATGTGAATCCAGAAGATGGGGCGATTTACGCCGTGGAACTGGGGTCGGCTGTAGTTTACAAGAAAAGTAGCCTCAGTCAGCCGTTCACATACGTCGACTGCTGCGCGACGGCTTTCACCTTTGTTGGTGAGTACATTATTTGATACATGGTTTCAGAAAATTGCTTTTCTAATCCGATCTTTGGATTGTAGTGAAACAGCTAAGCTAATTAAAAAACCTCGTGTCCGAATTTAAAGTTTTCTATAAAAGATTATGTTTCAGATTCCCCAATCGAAGGACTGCCGACAAATATCAAACTGCTTGTGGTAGATGGGCTCAGTTTATTCGCCCTGCGCTACTTTAACGACCAGCCCCTAATCAGTTTTGAAATCAACGTGAATATCGTGGACATTGCCTCTGTTAATGGAGTGGTGGCTGCTGTCAGTGACAGTGGGCGACTCTATGAGCTAAGCTTGGCCAAAGGATTCGTTCATTTCAAGGATATCACCAACACCTTCTCTCCTAAGTTTGCTAAGATGAAGTCTATCAGCGCGTGGAGAAGCAAAGGTAGGTGTCTCGTTGTCAAGAACAGAGAGAGAGAGAGAGAGAGTCTCGTTGTCAAGTGTGTCTCGTTGTCAAGGTGTCTCGTTGTCAAGGTGTCTCGTTGTCAAGTGTGTCTCGTTGTAAAGTGTGTTTAATATTATTGAGTGAAGCTAAATTGTTGGTTCATATTCAAGCTATTGTTACTTCACACAGTGCACCTATATTATGTAACTGTAACTGTGTTTGTAACCACGCAATTGCAAAGTTTGGATAATTAATTCGATTAGTTCTAATTAAAAGTCGACAACTCTTGAATTGAAGCCCTTCAAGCACAACTACCGGCTTACGCCTGCAAGACCTGAGCAGTTTGTAAATTGTATACATTATCTGTAATGGAAGCCATTAATGATTATGGTTTTAAAACTTTCAGGAAAGTTCCTGGCCACAAGTGATAAGGATGATGTATGGATGAGTCCTGTCAACCTCAGGAACTGGGAGAACTTCGGAAATGGCAGATCCTGCTGCGCAATTTCTGTGTTCGAGGTTCCCAACATTGGTATGTTACATTGTAATTCATGGAGGCTTATCGTTTCTTAGTAGATGAGCACAATTAACTATATAATTAATCACCGTTGAACGACAGACTTGAGCCATCTGCAACATACCAGATATACATTATACATTATACATTATACATTATACATTATACAAGGATGTCTGAAGTCTGATAGATTAACAATATATTGTGTTCAATGATTGATAAGATAATGCTTGAGATAATTAAACATAATATTATTATTATGCAGAGAGTTTTGCTGAGCAATCGTTCCCCTACTGCACACAAGTGAACCTGCAGGGAGTAACTCTGACTGGTAACGGAAATTGCAAGGTTCAAAAACAAGCTTTGGGAGTAAAGCAGTACGAGGTCATCGAGTAAGTAGAATAATACAGAATTAAAACTAAAACTTTATATTATATTATGGTATATTATACAGTATACCAAAACTATGGCCAATCATTTCTATGTTTAAATTCTAACTTGGCGATTAATACCAACAAAAAATTACCATTTAGTCTAGAATCACCCTGCGTCGACGTTATGGACTCTGATGCAATTTACCCCACCGCTCAAGACCTGATGAGTGACTACAAAATCGTCATCAAGGCTACCTACGAATACCCTGCTTCCAAGATTGGAGTTGCTTTCAACTACCAGGATGCCAATCGATTCGACTACATCTATATTGAGTGAGTATTAAGAAATAAATTAAAAATAGCGTTGAACAGACCCTGAGTATAATCCCATCAACTTCCGTTTCATCTGCTATAAAAGATCTTCAGTAATTAACCTAGCTACTTTCAGTCCAGCAAACCGAAAAGAGTGTTGGGGAATGGGATACATGACGGCGTTTGGTCCAGTTGATCGAGCTAACTTGAACACTGGATGTCCTGGTGGACCGCCTTTATCGGGGGTTCCCTTCACCCTGGAGGTAGATAGTTTAGTATTCGGTGTTTTTATGTAGGTGTGGTATTTGCCGTAAAGTGAAACTAAAGAGTCATTGAGAAGGTCCGGAAAATTCGGACATATTAGGTGGATATGTTTATTATATAATTTATATTTTTAAACACCCATCAGATCCAAACGATTGAGAGACAAGTGATCGCCAAATTGGACGGCTACACTATTTTCTCCCGATATCCTAACTACGAGAATATGGCGGCTGGAGGTCTCATCATCTGGTCTCAATTTAATAACGCTGCTCCAGTTTTGTCGCAAGGTAAACATCTCTAATCATTTTGGCTCCCTGATACCATAGGAATCACCAAAAGCTTCAGATTATACTGACAGACAATCTAAAACTTACTATGTAACACGTAGATACTGCATTACTATCATATTCAACTTGCGTTGATTTGTATTTTTACTATTTACACTATTTCTTCGTAATGATTTTGAGGATTATCAATTTGCAGGTATCGGAGTATGCTACGTTCCCGATGAAAATGCAGAGGCAGAACCACTAGCGGAGTCCCGACAGCTGGTTACTTCTGACTACGATGAGGACGTTGTCTCCAGAGACTTCATGGTCTTCACCAATGACTACAGCACTGAAAATGGAGCTGATGTCACCGAAAGTACTTTGAAACAACGGAGTACTACCTCTGTCACCACTTCCGCTCCAGTCTTCACTGAGCCACCAGAGGATCAGGGAAACAACGTGAGTCCTGATTTAACCGAGTTAATATTGCCAAAACCCACAACAATCTTTTAAACAGTCGCAAATTCAACAGTGCATTATAATGATACAAAATCCAACAGTTCGAGAATGAAGTGGATCAGGACCCAGCCGAATCTGCTGACGGTTCAATTGTTCTGATTAGTGACGGAATCAGACACGACTACTACTTGTATAAGGAGGCAAAAGGGTTCACCTCTGCTAACAGAGCGTAAGTTACTATTTATTTCTACATTTAAACTTCAGCCACTTCTTGAATTTTGTTTTCATGATCATCTGCGTGTGGGTGGTCATTCGGAAAAAATTGTCACGAATTATGAATACAAAATAGCACCCCATTCCTTTAAAAGTGGGTACTCCACGTATTGTTTTCCCAAACTTGGCTGGACGCATGTTCTAAATATGGATTTTGTATGCGTTTTAATGTCTGTAGTGTCTACATTATGGAATTACTAAAATGGCCGTTACGCAACTCGTTCGTGCTCGAAGCTGAGAATTGTTTTTCCTTTGTCGGCTATAAACGAAGTGCTCACGTTGAAATTAAAAACCTACTCGCTGTTTCAAAAGTCCCGTAGCGTTAAAACATCTACTCTACAATTGCATTGTTTTCAGTATCCTATTTTAAATATTGTCAAATTGTACGATTATCATTTCAGGTGTGAAAAGTTGGGCATGACTCTGTTGCTGATTGAAGACGAGGTTCAGAACGCAAGGATTGCAATGCTCCTACTCCAGGAGGAAGTTGACCGGGTAAGCTGCTTTAAGAATGATTTAATATTTATAAAAATAAAATGTCATACTGCTCCGTGTTAATTATCCGTGATTGTAATGTAAAAGTTGAGAAAAAACAATTAGGATTTTCAAATTTCTGCCTTCAGGTCTGGCTGGGAAAGTTCTGGCTGGAGGATTGGGTAATCACCCTTCACGACGGAACTAGATTAGATTTCAGGAACTTTGAAGATGATCCCGGACGAACAAGTGCCCCGATATTCGCTACAATCAGAGCTGATGGCTTCTGGGACGCAGTAAACGGCCGGGACAGGTAAAAAACGAATTAACATTTTAATAAGACAATATTTTTAGCTGTTGGAAGTGTTATTATATAAACTTTTATTAACAACGACACTGCAAATAAAGTCAGTTTTCAGGATAGTTAAGAGTGTTCAAGAAATACTACACAATTATAATTGTTATTTTATATTTGCTCAGATATTTCTTCGTGTGTCAACGATCAGTGGACGTTGAGATTGATCGGGACAGTAATGAAGTAGATATTAGAAAGTTAGATATAAAAGACGATGATGGGGATATCCGAGGGTCCATTGAAGAATCCTACGATCATCCACCCACGATTGTTAAGGTTTGGATTTTTGATCTTGTTATCGAATTTTTACAAACACATTGAAGATGTTTCAGGCTTCAGTGTAAAAACGTGTTCGCTGTTTTACTTTTTATCTTAAATTGGCACAGTAAAACTCGACATTCTTGCCATCCCAAAAATGACTTTTTAAAAACTGATCGTTTTTATAAAATTCACAATTAATGATATCAGGGACCAGTCAACGTGACTGCTCAAGTCGGAGACACAGTTACCTTCAAATGTACTGCATCATCCAAGCCTCCTTCCACAGTCATCATTGTCAAAATTGGTAAGTTTGCTATGAGAATGAATTTTTGTTAAGAAGCAAAGTTGAACGTATGTTTTTGGAGTTGTGGTTCGATTGGTCCTGTAACATCCCCACAATTACACCGGTAGCAGATATGAAGTCATATTTTCGTTACCTTAAAATTAAGAATTGTATCTTTCAGATGACGAAAACCAGGAATTGCCTTCAATCGGAGATGCAACCCAACTGAATGATGAATCACAGCGAGTAACAACAATCATTGAGCTTGAATCCGTGACACGTGATGATGCTGGAAAGTACAGCTGTATCGCCCAGAACGAGCTAGGAGAAGCCAGTGCCCCTGCTTGGCTTATCATTGAAGGTAAGGCTACTGTCAGAATCTGAATCTGTTATCTGGTGATGAATCTAAACTTCAGATTGATCACCATGTTCCATTTTTAGGTACAACCTGATCCCACAATATGTTTCACAATTTTGTTTGTAGTATGAATTATTTTAATTTTTGGCTACAAACCTGCAAACCAGCAAAAATTAAGATCGCGGGATAATTTATGATTCCAATTTAATATGGACATGAAAGATTTTTTAAAACTAAAAGTTAGTGCGAGGAGACGAGCGATCTAACTTGGCACATTCCCAGATTTGGACTCCTTGGCACTAGAAAGACCTACCTGTATGTTCTGGGGTGACCCTCATATTACCACGTACGATGACAGGATGTACAACTTCCCCGGAGTCTGCACATATATCCTCTCTATGGACTGTACTTCCAGGTTAGATATTCACATAGCCATGTGTCTACGCGTACTGCGTGACGCGCTTGTTTCGCGCGCTACTGCAAGCGAGAGGGCTCTGGTTAGAGCAAGGTTAGATACAGCCTCACCAGCTAATAGTCGCTATTTAATGTTTTGTCTGAAATATGTTTTGATGATAAATAATATAATCCATGGTAATAAATATTTTAAACATTATGCTTTTTAGCAACTTCTGGATCTACGGTTTGATGAAGGAATGTGGAGGAGGAAACAACGCAGGACCAAGCCTCAGCGCTCTGGATTCTGTTACTATCTACGCACGGTGGGTACATCCACTGTTTACAGTGGAAATATTTAAACTTTTCCCCTGGGATAATTCACTCAGACCATAAGTCATATTTCAGCCCATCAGAAGGTACCGTCTGTACCGAAATATTGGCTATTTTTGTTACTTTGTTATTGTTTCATTTGTCATTAGTTCCTTTAGTCGCAGTGTCATTGGTGTACAGAAAATTCGAGAGAATTTGAAATCAACAACGTCGGTACATCCACTAGAATTTTATGCTGACGGAAAATGAAATTAATCCTATTTATTTTGATGTTGAACACGTTACACGAGCCAAAATACGGTTTATAATTTATGTTTAAGGTCCAACTCCTTAGTGTATCAGGTACATGTATAATTTATATATTATGTGGGATACAACCAGTTGACATATAAAGTCATAAGCCTTGGAGGATGTCCAGATATTGTTGAACGGAAATACTCACAGGGTTGAAAACGTTATCTTTATTGATTATTCAAACACATCATGCTATAAGCAGACAGGCAGACAGGCAGACAGCATATTATTAAGTTCTTACACGAAAAGCAAAGAGAGCCGACTCAAGATAAAAATGGTGCATATATTTTTATTTGCATAAATATGTGATTTCTCGAAGGCATTAAAATTCACAATATCTTTGTTGCTCCAGTTTAAAGGGGACAAATGGTGTAGTATTCGGACCTGATTACTGCTTAGTTTTTGTCTAATAATTACTGTACTCTTATTACTAAATGTTTTCAGAAAATTACCGTTTTTCAGAAAAAGCCAAATATTTGTAAATGTAAAGGTCAGCTAGAGTGAGTTATTATTTCCGTGATGAATTAAATCGCAAATAACGCACGGTAACTTAACTATCTCATTTCATTCGCTAATTTAGAGATCTAACTGGACCTGATGTCATTCTTCAGGTTTAGTTGAAAAGGAGCACAGCTTGAATTCGCCTGATGTTTATTTTATGTTAAGGAAACCAAAGAGCAAATATTTTGCCCTCGTTGTAATGAATCTTTTAAGGGGTGCAGACTTACAGTAAGGAAAATCAGACGTTTATATTTGGATTATAATTTTAACGATCAAATAAATCTCATACTCATTACTCCTCTAGAATGACTTTCGATTCAAGATTAAAGGTAATTTGGCAGAAGTATAATGAATATAATACTGTAAAGAACTTTAAACGTACTATGAACGTACTATAAACGTACTATAAATGTACTATAAATGTACTATGAATGTACTTTAAATGTACTATAAATGTCCTATGAACGTACAATGAACGTACTATGAACGTACCCATCTTTTAACAGAACTCTCCTCCAGAGTATCCGACGGGAACCAGACTGGAGTAGAGCTGCAAAGAGGATGGGTTGTGAACATCGGTGGAGCTAAGTTGCGTATCAGCGAGGGAATGTCTGCTAGACACGGAAATCTCATCATCAGAAGAACTTCTGAGCACGTCTTCGTCACCCTGCCCAATATGGTATGTACTGCACACCCTTATTTAATTATCTAGACTGACGTTTTATGCTTTGAATCTTCAACAATATCTTGTCGGTGAGTGGTTGATTACCACATGACTAAACTGCCCTGTTTCAGATAACCGTACAATGGGATGGCCTACAGATGGCTGTCATCAGACTACCAGCTGAGTTCGGTCATGACAGGACCTGTGGTCTGTGCGGCAGATACAACAACGATCCTTCAGATGATTTCTATATGAGATACGGACACACCGATCAAACTTCAAATGCTAACGTCTTCGGAAACTCATGGTAGGCTGATAAAAAATGTAAAAAGGTTTTTTATCCCAATAGAATAGTTTACAATAAAAAAAACATGTGTTGTGACGCGATGAATTCTACAATATCATTCATGCTAACTTACTAACTCCTTACAGGGCCTTCCCAACTCATTTCCGACCTTGTGAGATGGTTCCAGATGAGGAGATCAATCCATGCCACGAGCATCCAGACCGGGACTCCCCGGGAGCCATCCTGTGTCATGAGCACTTATACACCGTGCCCTTCACCCAGTGCCATAACAATGTGGATCCTCAGCCTTACTATGACAACTGCAGACGTGACTTCTGCGGGTAAGGATTGACAAAATATGCACTGACTATTTGGTCAATTTTAGCATTTTGATACTTAAAATTGCAACCATAAGTAGCCCTAAATATCGACCCTTTTATTTTGTCAGCTCTGAATGGAGGAGGGACCAGAACCTACCTCTGTGTAACGCTCTCTCAGCCTACGCTACAGCTTGTGAGATCGGTGGCCGACCCATATCATCTTGGAGGAGCGAAGATCTTTGCCGTGAGTATTTTCATTTGAGTTTTTGTCGAATGGTATTAATGTCAACCAGTTTTTTGTCAGATTCGTTAATAACCACTATGTTGTAATCACGAGGATTTTGGCAATCCTAAAAGTTTAAAGGTCACAGATCACAGAATCAACCTTTCAAATCTTTGGATCACTATGAGTATGAGTTTGAAAACAATTGGCGCCCCTTCCAAATACGAACCAAGTAACACGGTTTTACTAAACGAATTATTTTTGCAGCTATTGATGAGATAAAAGAGATCACAAAGGAGGAGGGGTGTCCTTGGGATGAGCTCGAATTCGATTTCGAGGATGGAGATGGGGAGAGGGATGTTATCGACAGTAATTAGGCATGATGGGATTCTGTCTAAATTAAGAGTTTTCGCACGAAGAACCAATTGATATAGACTGGTAGCGATCGATTAGATATTCGGGGAAGTTAAAATTACGATTTTTAACAGAGCGGGCAAAATATTGACTAAGAAGGCGACCTTCACATAAATCATCAAGTTAATGATCGAGCTGATAATGATAAATAATATTGTTTAGATATTTTCCTACGCGCTTATATTATTAGTCATGATATATTGATTTGGTTGAACCAAAATCTCCTATTATTGACTTGTTGACAAAACTACAAATCAATCTTGAAACTGATCGAAACCGGGGTGATTCCAATTGATAAAATTCTACATGATTTATTCAACTGCTACGTAATTAAATTTCATATATATTATTATCTAACTTAACAAAATGAAATCTTATTTTAAGATGCAGAATGACTTATTTATGAACTTAACATTAAAATAGGGCAGCTTGAATTTTCTACTGTTAAAGATTTGGTTCTCATTTCTTATGTATGCTTCTCATATCAACTCTTTGTACATTTTGTTTTTACTTTATTCACATTTTATCATAAACAATGATAACTTTGTATTTGATTTGTCAATTTCCTAACTCCCTCAAAAAAGATATCCAACTTGGTTAAAAATTTATTTTCTTATCGCAATAAAAGCAACCTTACAGATCAGCGAAACTCTTTTTGTTTATTATTGGTTGATGAAGCCATGAAGGGCAATTATATTAGAAACTGAAATTTCCTCTGAAAGTATTTTTGTCAATCATCTTCTTCTAAAAACATTTTTTATTTTCTAGAAGTCGAAAATAGAATTACGAAAGTAATAAACAATTTTTGTAAACAACCCCCCTTTTACCATCAGCCACTTTCATAGCGAAATCCAAAACTTGTGTCTCCTTCCCACTCGAGTGGATGTGATTTATAGAAGGCTTTTTATTAGCCGCCTCAACAGCTCAGTAAGGAATAAAGATCCAGGTCCTCGGTGCAATGCACAATGTGTACATGTGTATCAGGTACAGTAAATAGTAAATACATTTCACAACTACGAATAAACTCTTTTATTGAGTAAACCTATGTTGAGTAAACCTAGATGTTTGTACTGAAATGGTAATGTTTTGACCTGGCTCATTCAGTTTCATTTTCAACCGCATCTGCAAATTTTGATTATTGGCACTGCATGCTATTCACGGTGTAAAGTTACATAGATAAGAAATAAATAGGGAAAAATTGTCACGTTTTTTACATAAAAATGCTTGGATTGTGTCCGTACACGTTCACATTACATGTTACACTTACAGTTTGTCGTTGTCCTCAGTTATAATTTTTAAATAATTTAAACCGGTGTTATTACTGTTAGTCCCGTAATTTTAAATTTTCAGGATGACGTTGATAGAGAAGTTGCTCGAAATTGGCCAAAATATTTTGCAAAATTATTATTCAAGTCGGAAAGAGTTTGGAGGACCCATTATGATACCCCCGATACCAGATTCGAAGTTTATCGAAAAACTTCCTGACAATAACAGCTCCTCGAAAATGGATATAAGCAAAAGAGGGCACCAGCATGGATATGAGGCAGAAGTCCAACTGTATCGTGGTTTTGAGCAATTGGGGATATTAGGGAAACATATGTTGGTAATTCATCAGTTGGAATACACTCATAGACAGTACTCGGCATTTTTACCGAAACATCCTTGTGACAGCAAGAGTTGTAGTAAAGCTAAAGGAGATAGCACGAATAATTCTGAGCATAATTGTCACAACCATTCTAATAATATAGAGGGAGAGTGTGATTTTCTTGTGGTTGGTCATGCTTTTGTGGCAGTTTTCGAAGTTAAAGCTACAATTCTGACAAATATGGAAGACCAAGATATAAGAGGCAAAATTGACCGGTTTGACGTTTGTTATAGTGCTGCATTGAGACAAAGAAAGAGAATGATTAACCTAGTAAAATACTTTTCTGATGATAATGGTTCTCCAGTCGAGACCATCGGTTTTACAGTCTTCAGTAACATTTCCAGGGACGAATTCGATCATATCATTTTGAAAAACTCAAAGAAGGAGCTGTCTAGTTATGGTTTGTTGTTTAGTGATGATTTAAGGAATTTCAAAAGATGGTTTGTTGAAAACCTGGCATCACAATTTCCTAATTCTACAAGGACAATGTATTCGAGTGATGAAGACCTCCTGGAAAAGATAAAATGCTGTTTGCTTGGGTTGTGGTGCATGGATAATACAAACCATTGGGATGGAACAAAATGCAGTCTAGCTAGATGCGTCAAAGATGTCGATGAAAAACTTAGAATGGGAATTTTTACAGAGTATGAGGCCAAGTCGATTATGAAAGACCCATTGGCATTGGGAGTATTAAACACAATAAGAAAACGTGAGCGTTATACAACTAGCAGTACGTGTTCTGAAAGTGGAAGTGATATGGCTACCGTTATCAGCGATACTAGTGAGTGGTCCAGTTTGGTGGTTGGCACAGATAGGCCAAGTCCCGTATCCATTATTATTGATGTGATCGATGATTCGACGGATATTTTCAAAAAATATCTCAACATACGCTGTTTGTCTGAGGGGCAGAGAGCAGTATTCGACAGTAATGAAAGGTTTCTTTGGGTTAATGGTCCGGCAGGCTCCGGCAAAACTTTAGTAATACTTGGTAAGATACTTCAAATCGTGAGAACCCCATACTCGGGTAAAAAGATCATTTTAATGTGTCCTGATTTGATCAACTGCACCGCTGTAAGACGTCATCAAACATTTTTGGATGAAATAGAAGACATTCCGTATGAAATAATGTCATTGGTTGACACTGACTTCGATGGATTTGAATCAAAAATAGCGGAGTCCGATTCCAAGGTGATTTTGTTGAAATCAAGATGTTCAAAAGATGGATCTTTCATCATGCTGCTTCAGACTCTTATTCAGCTCCAGCAGGGAAGGTACCATATTATTGTGGACGACTTTCAGCTTGACAAGTTTTGGACTGATTCAACTTCAAGTGAGGATCCAGAAGTCATCACGGGATTCATCACAGCCATGGATGAGGTCAAAAGACGACCCAACGATGAAATATCTGTTTGGGTTTTCTGTGATTTGGTCCAGCAGATTCTTTATGAGACACTATATAGCGCTAGCCATATAAAAAAACTCAGTAAAGATCACAGAAAGAAACTGAAAGCAAACTTTGTGATAAAATCTTTAGAGGCAAATTTGAGGAATACATGTGATATAGCAACACTACTTGATTTGCTAAGAAAAAGATTCACAGAAATGGTGAAACCATCGATCGCACAACAAGAGATCGGACATTTTCTTCGGGGAACAAAGCCACTTTTCTACTTAATCGAAGATGCAAGTGATGATTTTTCCGACATCCTAAGGAAAGAAATAAAGAAGCTAGATGGTCTTGGTAACAATGATATTGGCGTGCTATACAGTGGTCGCACAAAATTCGACCACAAATTTCTCGGACATCCGCAAAGTGAACATCAAAAAGATATTGGAAAAATAATTGAAACAGTGAGTGAAGTGATAGGAAAAGCAAAAGTTATTATCGATGTTGAGCGCATTGAGGACAGTTGGTCAGCTGAGTGGCCAGCAGTAATCGCTATTATCCACGGATCAGTTCGGTGGACAGAACTTTACCTTGCAGTATCCAGAGCTAGAGTATACTCTTCTGTTATTATATTGGGTTCGGGGAATGAATCAGAAGCTGGCGCTTTCTTAAAATATTTTGAGCTATGTAACGACGTTTGTAAGGTTATAACTATTAATAAATCAAAATGTCCACTCAAGTGAAAATGATGATTGAAAATGTTTACTTGCTTTTTACTTACTTCATGCAGTATCATATGGAGCCAAAAATCGTCTCGAATATTTGAAATTATATCTTTATGTCACAAGTTGTTTCTTATTTTTTGCGATTTTAATTTACCTTACTCGGGATTATTACGACGGGTTTATTAACGACCGGTTAAAATATGGTTCGGGAAAAATATGGCGAAATTGCTCAAAACCCACCACATTTTCCCGGTCGCCATTTTACCGGTGTCCAACCTTTCAATTTTAGATTCAAAAATTTTGTCTCAGATGTAAATTTCCTTATTAGAGATAAGCAAGTTTAGAAATTTTCGCATTGCTAAAACTTGTGAAACAAGTCGAATTATCAATAATTGTTGAAAGTAGACAGAAATAATGACTCGTGGTTAATCAAACTAGATGGAAAATAATTTTTAACATTTGAAGCGTAACAACCAGATCGATATTAAGATAAAGGGAGAGCTGTTTAGTCTTCCAATAAGTTGTAATCATCTTCGTTATCTTCATCTGGATCATCCCTTTCATCAGTTTTAATTAATTCAAGTTTTAATTTAACTGTTACTTTTACTTTGAGTCCTATTTCATTATGTACAATGTAGAGATAGTCAATACCTAAGAAATTAAAAATTGGCCTATTTAAATCGAATTTGACAATAAGGATATATGACAAGAATTGGGCAAAAAGGTGAATTTTTTGCAATTTTAGCCAAATGAAGTCGAAAACTCTACAACAAGTGTCCCAATAGTCTTCTTTAGTGAATATAAGACAACGATTAAAATATGAGCACCCATACCCCTTGGGAACCCTAAAAGCTGAGTAGGCGGGTTTATTAACGACCGGTGAAAATGTGGTTCGGGAAAAATATGGCGAAATTACCCTAAACCCACCACTTTATCCCGGTCATAATAATCCCGAGTAAGGTATTCGTACTGTTCATTGTTGCTGATTATCATTCGATTTAAGTAATTCACCATAGAATGGTGATTATATTCTAAGATTTATTTTTTTCCAGCGTATATTGTCATGAAATTGTTGACAATCTTCCTTTTATTAAAAACGACTATTTTCCTTTGTTGTATCTACGACCTACGTAATTACCACAAATTTCGAATGTAGTTTCTTACAGGCTATATTAATATACCTTATCGGACCTTATTTGGATGGACATTACATGAACAGACATAATGGAAACCTTTTTTTTATCAAACTACCCCGGTCCTGAATTTTAGTGTTACCTTTTACAAGCCATTCGGCGTGAAGTGGTTTTTATCTTAGACAACTTAAGGTTAACCTTAACATCACGTGGAGCTTTCCTAGCACTGTTTCATTACCGCCCCCGAGTAATATGAACTATAACAACTTCGGACAATGTCCTTGGCAACACGATTTACCGTAATATCTAGAGGCTGGAACAAGTTTGTCATGTTGGCGGGGACTACCTTATCGGACCTTATTTGGACGGACATTATGATTAATTGAATTGGAGGCATTAACGTTCATCTTAATGTCCGTTCAAATAAAGTCCGTTCATTTAAGGTCCATCCAAGTTAAAGTCCGTTGAATTTTTTTCAAAAATTCGAACTTTTTGTCCAGAATATGACAACTATGAGAACTTTATTGTGCCGTAAGTTAACGACGGAAAGGTTCTACTTGGTCTGCCGGAGGCACAGAAAACTCTACTAGTATATGATGTTTTCAAGGGGCACTTTGCAGAAAAAGTCAACGAAATTATGGAACTCAACAAC